CCATTACATGCAACCGGTATCGATGGGAACAATACTCTCATAGAGTACAAAGCCAAAAACATTGCTAACTGGTTGGGAAATAAACAAATTTTCATCCCTAAGATGCTATGTTTTCCATTCATGCATGGAGATTTTATTTTGGGAAATAACCTTTGCAAAATCATTACCCAATTGAGATCCTCTCAAACAAAATAACTTTGACCCAAAAGGAGAAAAAGTTGATATACCTATCCTTATAGCACATAAGAATAGATGTCAGTTTGGATTCTCACCTCAAAAACAGGGAGAAACCATTCAAAAATTTCAAAAGTAACTTTTTCAAAGAGTTAGATGCTACCCATTGGATTTACAAAATGCTTGAACCAAATTTCTCAGAAATCCCTTTGAAATTATGGTCCAAAAGTCCAAGATACTGTAGCATGAAACTCTCCAATCCAAACAGGATCATAAGAGTAAATCCCATGATCTATCTCAAAAAAGATATAGACGAGTTTGCTATTCTGCTGAAAGAACTACTAGAAAAGACTTGATTGAACCAACAACAAGTCCCCATTCTAACCCAGCATTCATGGTAAGAAACCATAATGAGGAAAAAAGAGATAAAGCCAGGATGGTAATCAACTATTAGTGGCCTAACCAAAACATTGAGTTTGATGGATATTTTATACCCAAAAAAGATGTTTTGATTCATCAAACCAAGGGAGCAAAATATTTCAGTAAATTTGACTGCAAGTCAGGATTCTCGCAAATCATGCTCACAGAAGAATCCAGACCCTTAACTGCTTTTAGTACTCCATACAGCCATTATCAATAGAAAGTAATGCCATTCGGACTTTGCAATGCACCACAAATATTTCAGGGATGGATGGATGGTATTTTTTCTAATCTAAAAGATGTTTGTGCTATATACATTGATGACATTTTAGTATTTTCTAAAACCATAGAGGAACACCAAAATCATCTCAAAATCATTTCCAAAAAATTCCTTGAGAATGGAGTCATTTTGAATCCCAAGAAAATGGAGATTGAGAAAACCTCAATCGAATTTTTAGGCATCGTCTTAAACCAAACATGTATAAGACTTCAAGAGCATATCATTTCCAAAATTAGGAATTTTTCAAATGAGCTTGTAGACAGAGATCATCTTCAAAGCTTTTTAGGAATTCTTAATTATGGTAGAAATTTTATTCCAAACCTCTCTAAAAAGGAGAGACCTCTTTTGGAAAAACTAAAACAGGACAAAGAATTCTCTTGGAATATGGATGACACAAATATTGTCAAACGTATTAAAGAAGAATTGAAAAACATTCATTCAGTTTATTTTCCTAAACAAAGAGATAAACTAATATTTGAAACCGATGCTTCAAATGAAAATTGGGGAGCTGTCTTAAAGGCTGATATTAAAGGAAAAGAGTTGGTATGTGGATATAATTCCAATAAGTTTAAACCCAATGAACAGAATTACATGATCTACGAAAAAGAATTATTGGTAGTTATACGTGGAGCAAAAAGCTTTCACGTATATCTTGCGCCAGAAAACTTTGTTATCAAAACAAATAACAAAGTCGCCAAAAACTTCCTATCCAATAAAAAGCAAGAGGAAAACCCTCGACGCATAAGATTGATGAATCTTTTATAGATGTACTCATTCATTGTTGAGTTCATCACAAGCTCTAACAATGTATTCGTTGATTTTCTGAGCAGGGAGGATGGACAGACGAAATCCTAACCAACGATCCGTCAACAGTTAAAAACGAAACCCTAACCAAGGATCCGTCAACAATCAGAGATAAAATCCTAAACAAAGATATGTCAACAAAGGAAAGCGGCCACTCGTAAACAATGGGGGAAGCGAATGGTCTAGAGCAAATAACCAATTTGCTCAAACCCAGAGTTTGAAAGATATTTCCTACAAAGAAGCCCTAGAATTTCAAAAGAACCTTCACCAAAACTTCCTAGTAGAAACTAATCAAGTTTCTAGCTTTTCTAGGAAACCCGACATTCCAAATAATATTTAGGAAGAACTAGACCAGGTATGGAAAAACCATATCTTGAGAAACAAAGCCCAATTTCAAAAACACATGAGTTCACTCTCAGATCTAATTAACAATCAGAGTCGAAATTTCGAAAAACTCAAAGAGAAAATATTTCTATCAATTAAACAAATGGACTGGGATGAAGACTTCTCTTTTGAAAAAATAAATTCATTTCTTGAGATATCACAACTTCTCGATCACCAAACAGATGATCCAGTTTTCCAAAAAAACAAGAGAATTTGTCTCTATGAAAAGGCTAAACAAGTGTTGCCTAACGACATACTTTCAAAAATATCCCAGATGGTGGACATAGGTCATTTTTCGAAATCCCAAAACACTTGGAAAGTCAGTTTGGATACCTATACCTCGATCTACACTAGAGTATGAAAGCTATTTTGTATCTCAACTATAATCAAAATTATGATTATGGCAAGATTGTTGAGTGGGGTTTAGCTGGAAGAATTATATTTGAGCACCTTCAGTTACTATCCCTCAAATTCATGCCTAATTTTATCAAAAGCATGGTCTACAGAGTCTCCAAATCATGGACTCATAATGTCCACTTGACCTTTTAAAGTACCAGTACCACAGGATGGTATGCCAGAGAAATGTTTTACCAACCATACCAGATTTGGGAATTGAGAAAAACAGAGCAAACGAATTTTTACATCTCTAAAGAAAGCCTTGTTACTATGGATGATATTAAAAATCTAGATGTTGCCGAATACGTTATAAAGAGTATAATAGCATTCACCAAAAAACCGTATGCTGTTAAAAATTCGAGAATGACAAAATTTACAGATGGAAGAAGACTGTTCGTGACAGACCTTCCGATAGCCTACACAGCTAAAGAATAGTTAGATATAGATTTAGAAAAATATCTAAATCTCTATCTCACAACAGTACTGATAGATCTCCCATCTGATTTAGCTAACCAAGCTAAAGAGAGGCTCGAGATTTTCAAAGATACATTGCTGACTAATTGGGAAAACCAGTCATTTGCCAACAGTAACAGTATGGACAGTGTTGGAAGGCACAACGTTGCCAATATGATGGAAGATTAAAATAATCTTTTATGGAATGACCAGACAGCAAAATTATCCATCACACGTGTCTCGATGATGTAAGGATGATACAAAATATGATGTCATCAATGATGCAGGCATTGACATCATCAATGACACCGCACTGGCCTCAATTATTGCTGTCAGGATGACTCATCAGTTGCAATAATGAAGCCTAAGACACCTCATCGGTTGACTCATCAGTCGCAATAATGAAGCCCTGACACCTCAACCACAGCAATTATTGCTACCTGGACACCTCATCTACTTTTCCTGAGCACCTCAGCTAGTTTTTACTGACCACGTCAGTACCTTTGTAGTTTCCGCAATAATGGTGCAACCAACCCATTAATTGTGGAATTCAAATGTAGTTTGTAAAAATTTGGAGTCCGCCTTCTATAAATAGTGGCTCAGTTTAGTTGTTTGAGACATCGAAATTCAGAGCTTCACTCTGAGTTTGAGCATTTGGGTTTTAGTCTTAGTTTTCTGCTTTCTTATATAAGCCATTTGCTCAGTTTATCTGCTTCTTTCCTTTATAGATACAACAAATTCTCCTGTTTTTTCATGTTCATACTTCTTAGATACTGTAATCCGCTAGTCTTCTTCATCTGTTGCTGTTGTTGTTCTGCTGTAACTGTAACTGGTATCAAATTCTAAGTTGAAGTTCCACATGCAATTGACAGTTGCATGCTGTTACCTGTGGCTTGGCTGCGAACGTGATGACTATTTGCAACATGTCGAACACCTTCCAGACCCGAAAAAAAAAGAAAATTTTTTTTTTTGCAAATAATCCCTGCGAATCGATTTCCTATGCAACTCACCCCAACCAAACTTTTTTTTTCCACTTTTTACCTCAAATATACTTTCCTACCCCAAGTAAAAAAAACACATTTTTTTTTTATGAAAATACCCTTTTTCGTACATGAAAAATAATTTTAGTTGGACATTCACATGGGCGGGCTTACGTACAGTACCAAAAGCTACATAGGCTACCAGACCTCCATGTACCAATTGCCAGACCCCGTTAACTAAAAAAAGTGCCAGACCACTCTTTGACATTGTCAGACCGCACTTTGGACCTGTGTGCTAGACTGCATGGGCCTGTTGTCGGACCGCTCTTTGGCAGTGCTGGATTGTGTGGGCCTATTGCCAGACCGTTCTTTGTCAGTGCCGGACTGCTTGTTTATAATGTTGAACCACTTTTTTGTGTGTTATGAAGAAAGTTAAGTAGTCGATGTTAGAAGAGAGAGACGGGGTATTTTGGTCCCAAAAATTATAACTTTTCACTGGGGATATGTGTTAGAAGAGTGTTTTTCGGGGTAAATGTTGCGATAAAACATTGGTTGAGGTAAGTTGTAAAGAAACTTAGGTCAAGGGAGCGTTTTTGTAATTTCAAAAAAAAAGAAAAAAAAAAACTAGAGAAGAAAAGAAAGCAAAGTTACCAAAGACGATGTCAGCCCCTGCTGACATGATAAACCCTCCCCCTAAAAGCACTTGGATTCCACTATACTTTTGCATGACAGATAGAGAGAAACCACGCCTACCTTGAAGATCATAACCGGACTTTAGATAGAGAAGTGAAACTTGTGAGTCTGAGAGGGAGAGAAAGATGAAGATTGAAAAGCTGAGCTCGAGCTCGAAGTTAGTAACTGCATCTTATGAAGCTAAACCGTTTACACCTTCAATCTCCACCACAATCCCACTAAGCCCATTTGATCGAGCAGCAGGCAACTTCCACATCTCATCAATTTATGCCTACAAAGCACCTACACCCTCTAACTCTGCCATCGAGCATGGCCTTCGCCTCGCTCTCGTTGACAGCTGCTAGTGGGCCGGCCGACTCACCGAAGATGCAGGAGCAATTGTCCTCGATGACAAAGGGGTGCGCTTCTTCGAGGCCATGGCCTCCTGTACATTAGATGAGGCCAGTCCCTTGAAATTAACCCCCCAACTATGCGATCTTCACCCAAGCGACGAGGGCACTGAGGAGCTAATGCAAGTTCAGCTAACTCGCTTCATGTGTGGCTCCCTCGTTGTTGGCTTCACATCCAATCACCTGATAGCCGATGGCAAGGCCACCGGCACGTTCCTTTTGGCCTGTGGGCAAGCCACGTGTGGCCTAACGGACTACCCAGTGCCGATACATGACCGAGCCGTGGTCAAGCCACACGATCCATTCTCCATCGAGTTCGACCACTTGGGCAAGGAGTACATGGAGAAGAGGCTTGTAAAAGAGGTTCCATGGGAGGAAATGGTAAGCCAGGTTCGAGTAGAGAAGACCCAGTTTTCTCCTGACGTTTTAGCCAAGCTCAAGGCGCCCGCGACGGTGCGTTGTCCAAGTGGTCGCGACTATAGCACGTTCGAGAGCCTGATCTTTCACCTTTGGCAAAAGGTGACCCAAGCGCATGGCATGGGTGAGGAGGAGACAAGCCAGTTGTGCATCCTGATCAACGTGCGCACCCATGTCGTGCCTCCAATTGCCCATGGCTACTTTGGCAACATGGTTTTGTGGGTCTTCCCTCGAGCCACAGTGCGCGAGCTATTGAGCCAACCACTCGACCGCGTGGCGGAGGTGGTGCACGCGGCCATTGCCCAAGTGAATGATAGGTACGCGAGGTCCTTCGTGGACTTTGATGTGGGCGTAGAGAGAGACGGTCGTTGGAGTGAGTTGGTTGCCACAGGGGATCTAGATTCGACGGTGTGTTGCCCTAATTTGGAGGCCAATAGTCGGCTTAGGATCCCATTTGAGGAAAATGGATTTTGGGAGTGGGGGGCCTGATGTGTTTATGCCCTGTTTCATTCCTTTGGAGGGGATCATGGTCATTGTGCCTGCGATGTATGGGACCGGGGGAATAGAAGTGTATATCTCTCTATTCGAATCCAATAGGGCTGTATTTCAGGAGATCTACCACACCATAGACTAGATAGATCACCAGTGTAGATGTCTCTCTCTTTCACTATTAGATGTGCTCTCTATCTTCTACTCATCAAGTGATTAGATTGGAGCTTCTCCATGGTTACGACACTTCTCCCAGTCATTCTTATTTGCCCCTTGAAAATTTACTCTCTCTCCGTATGTACTTTTTTCCTTCGGTACATGGAGGTCACATTTACTTGCAATGAAATCTATTAGTTTGAGTTTATTGGAAAGTTTGAGAATTCTTTTTTTTTTTTTAAAGTTTGAAGTTGGTTAATAGAATAAAAAGTGATTTATGTACGGATCTTAAAATTTTCAGTAAAATACGAAATCCCCCACTTATATACTGAAATTACAAATAATATCCACCAACCTGTTTTTTTAATTTTTTTTCAAATTGCCTCTCAGTCAGCCCGAGTTTTGATTTCTTTTTCTTAGAGTTTTTTTTTTTTTCATTAGGGGGCAATGCTTTAAAGCTTGGGGCACTGCCTTATTAACAAAAAAGCTAAAAACAAAAAATCAAATTCCGAGTTGACCGAGGGGTAATTTTGAAAAAAATGTGGGTTGATCAATCTTCTTTGCAATTTCCTCCTATAAGGAGAGCATTTTGTATTTTATATAAAATTTTAGAGTCTGTACGTAAATCACTCTAGAATAAATGCAACCATCACATTTTACATCTAATGGCTAAGATTAATGGTGATCATCTTATACCAAAGATAACTGGTTTCATATATAGGAAAAATATGCAGCAACACTATTTATATTTGATACAAGGTGGTCACAACTAAGCTCAAACTTCAAAAGAAATTTTCTCGAGCATCGTAACACGCCAAATTTATTAAATTTCACGTAGAATAGTTATAAGTAATTGTAACCATTTTTTTTTGTATCAAAGATGAATAATCTCGTTCTATACTAGCCCAACCCAACACCACCATGGCCCCCTCCCAAAATGATTGCCACCTCGTGGCTTCTCACTCATGTACTCATTGAGATTTGTTATTTTTCCTTTGTTGTAATGATGTTATGAGCACCAGAAATAATAATGAATCTTACATTTCATGCCATGAGATTCCTATTTGAATGATATTGAAAACTCCATTGGAAATAATTAATGCATTAGCAAAATTCTTTCATTAAATGTTAGTAGACACATTTTCTCTATGAAACAAAGTGGGGCTGGGTCGTATTGGTAGCACCCCACACCTACGTTACCACATTGTAATTTTCATTCTCACCACATACACCACCTTTTTAATACCTTGAAAAAGCTAACTCCTTAATCTATTTGAACAAATAGGTAGGGTCTATCTTCTCCACTGAATTACTCAAAGAAAAAAGAAAAAAAAAGAGGGTTAAGAAAATATTTTCCTCACTAAATTACCCAAAAAACAAGTGCATAAAGATTAGGGAAGTGCCTCAGTGAGTCTGATGTTGGCTTCATTAGACCGGTCCATGCGTCACTAAAACCCCCTTGTGGGTTTTGTTCATTTTCGATCTACTTCTTTCTCTCTCTCGCTTTTTAGTTATTTATTTATTTTTATTATTTTTGTAATTTTTGAATCTTTTTTCATTAAAATATCACAAAAAACCACCCACTAACTTAATTTAAATGTTGCATTGCTGCAATTGTATGATATATTATATAATGTATATCATACATTATATAATATATTGGTTGTATCATAAGGTGTATATCATATGTATATGACATACATTGCTGGGACTCATACAATATATACACCTTACTAGGACTCATACATATAATAATGTATGATATATGAGTCCCAATGTATATCATATACATTACTATATCATATACATTGTACATGTTTATATACGTGTATGAGTCCCAGTAATGATAATGTATATGATTATATGTGTATATCATAATCATAATGTGTATGATTATGATTTTGTTGATATAGTATATAATAATGATACACGTTATATGTGTGTATCATATATAAGCATACAATATATATAAGTCCTAATTATCACATTATTTCCCAATTATCATAATATATCATATCATACATGTAATATAGTATAATATATTACATTATAGATATATTACATTATAATATATCATATATAAGTCCTTATTATAATTATGATACATAATATATAAATATATATTATGTATATATATATTATTATGTATATATCCTAATAAGATATAC